TGGCTAGGCAAACAAACTCCGAGTTGCCAGAAAAGCTTGGAGTTATCTTAGGATGCCGGATGTTTTCAACAAACAACCACACAGTCGAGCACGGCCGTTCGTATGATTTCACACTACTCTTCTGTAGACAATAGTTTGTAGTGGTATGAGTAAGAATGGACTGTTCTGAGAGTTGTGAAACCGGCCGTCCATCCCAACCTACCCTGGATCGCTTGATGACGTGTGCGTGAACCACACTCGCTCGCTCGCTCGCTCAATGAATCAGCTGGTCTGGAATTTTCCCGACTAAAGTCACGTGTGGCACGCGCATAACAGGCATGTGAAATCAGGTTTCGATCGATACAGAAGAGAAGCCGCACCGGCAGACAGTTTAGTGAGCATTGCAGGACATTTGAAATCGGGATATCTTGATGGGAATGTAGGTTTATTCATTGTATATCGATTGTATTCAAAATATGCTCAGATAACAGTAATCCACACCGCTCACTGGAAGTCAGCCCACATTGGTGATCACATTCATTTTTTAAAGCTTTACGCCAGTGACATATAAAACTGGCCTAGTCATAACACTTCAACGTGGCAAGAGGGATTTGCACCCCTGACGAACTACACAGAGAAGGACCTCCCGAAAGCAGGGTCATCTATTTCAAGACAGTATGCGGAAGGTTAAGATGTAATGCAAGTGGCCAAACACACTTGTTTGCGAAGTAAGCTTGTGTAAACGGGAGACTCCTGGTCATGTGCCGTGCAAAGACCATACAGTGTACTGCATCGCTACCCAGGAGTTTTAGTCAACTTTATAAGTAGTGCCATACCATGATTTTCATTCCGAAAGAAACATGAGGTAATATTTGTGCAACACAAGTCGATTCATTTCCTAATCGGTTTCACGCAAAACTCATCAGTAACGAACTGGATGGGAAAAGTCATACGTTTGATTGCTTCAGGGGATAACCGGTGATGAAACTCGCTCATGTGACTCCCGTTGACCCACTCAGTATTACTCATGGCGTGCCTCGATGCTTCTATGTGGAACAACAGTCGATTTATCCAGGAAATCAGGGAGGTTTTAATAGCGTACTCACAATACAATCCTTTACTGTCGCACGAGCAATTGCCTCAATCGTGTGCGGTTACGCGCCCCCTTCCTTTTCTTAGTCTTTAGTGACCCTACTGGACTGGTTAACTAATTTGATTCGTGGAGCTGACACTGTGTGGTACTGTTGGTCACAGAAAGGTGGCATCAAATTGCACAGCGAGTTCGCACTCTATACTATATGCCACATAATCTAGACCACGGCTGTGGGGTCAGACGAAAACGACTGATGTATGAAGGGGTCAGTGAACTTTGACATGATCCTTGCTGACATTACCAGGCGCTGAATATAACGACACTCACATTTGGGCTGGAATTCAATGTGCCAAAAACCAGGTGTGCATCCTACTGGGCTACAGGTTATATTGATTTGGTGTGATTTGGTGTCACACACCTACGCATCTTTATAGCAGACAAAGCGCATTCCTTTGGCACCTACGAGATAGAACACTGTTCAGCTGTACGTCTAAAACCTCAGACTGTCACACGATGGTAAGTCAGGGGCGAGAAGCTCAGTGCTTAGAGCGCGAATTTGCTGATCGGAAAGTCCGTGGTTCGAAGAACCCGAGCTCCGCCTCTCGACTTCCCCTGTCTAGGCTTGGGCTACCTGACAGTATCCCAGCCCTTGTGTTTCTTTCGGGTGGTATGGCAGCTGGGCACCGAAAAGGGTGTTACAGCTAAACGTTATCACTTTTATCACTGTGGTAAGTACTACAGAGGCTGCGCTCATCGATGGATGAAGGGTGGGAACAAGTGCGCCCATAGATTTTCTCCTACTACTTACGCTAGCACCCGGCAGCCAATAATCTTAGGCGCGGGCTTTGTACATTAAAGCACAATCAATAGATACTCCTAGAGAACAGCTACGCTCCTGATGAACCTTTATTAATCGTCTCGGTCGAACATCATATAGTGTGTGATTCCACCAGAGACTACTTATAAAGGAGACCCTACACATTCGTGGTGGCCGTTTGTTCATATTTTGCTTGAGGTGTCCCACAATGGTCTGATAACCCGTCAGTCATCTAGGCCTAACAAAGCGTGATCTTCGTATGGGTTCAAAATCAGAAGAGATTTAACTCTAATAGTCTTGGTATGGGGGTCCTTTTCGTATGATTCGAACCCGACCGGACCCTCGTAGGAGAAGGCGACCTTCTTTCTTCTTTGTCAAAGCATGTCGAATCACCATTTCTTCCACTGAATTTTAATCAGTTGTATGCCAACCTGGGGGGAGGGGGTTAAGCGGGGGGGGGGGGGGTTAACGTGAAATTCATTTGGGCTCTGAATAAAGTTTTGTGTGAATAAACAGCACACACACGTATTTCTTTACTTAGGCACACCACATATAGTATGTAAATAAATGCGTGGCCACATATTTGTGTTTGTATGAAGGAGTCCTTAGGCAAAAAGCCCCGAATAGAAGCCCCAGGAATGTCCATCTTTAACATTCCGTTCCAGATTTCCGTATGACTGCTCCCCATGGTTTTATTCGCCCATGAGTTATTTTCCCCCAGTCTCGCCAAAAAAAACCAGATGTGTGGATCTAACCACTTATCAAAAATGCATGAAAAACCCACAGTTCTAAACGGTGTGATTCGTAGGACAAAAGCAGACATCTATATAGCTCCTAAACCTTTTTCAAGAACTGCATGACTTAGTTAGCCCAGTTAAGCTAAAGTGGTTTCATTGAATGCTGATAGAGACTGAAAACAACTAAGTGACCTTTAAAATCTAGAGAGATTTTCCGTGCATCCGTAGTATGAGGCTATTTTACGGCCAGTTTTCAAGTGAAGGGTTTTTCTTGCCAACTCCGCTGGGGCGAGACAGCTCGGTGATTGGAGCGCGAATTTGCTGATCGGAAGGTCGGTGGTTCGAACCCGACCTCTGCCTCTCTACTTCCCCTGTCTAGGCTTGGGCAACCTGGCAGTACCCCAGCCCTCGTGCTTCCTCGGGTGGCTTGGCAGCTAGGCCGTTTGGTTAACTACATATCATATATCACGTATCCGGTACTGGGATGGTGAACTTGAAGCTATCCCAACAAATCACGTGATGTATACAAGAAGAACACACAAGTGCCGCTCGAGGAGCCAGTCGACACGTGTGACCGCGTGAGGATGAGTGACGATATATCCTGTGTAAGTGCGAGTTAATCACACTGCCGGTCACCCGCTCATGATCGAACGGTTAGGTGTTCAAACTACCAGCCGCGAGGTCGCGGGTTCGAGACTCTTCGGAGTCTTTGTGAGGTTCGTACTGCTGATCGTGCTCAAGTGCTTCTCGTCTTCTTGGCATGGAATATATATACATATATATATATAATGTTATTATATAATGTGTCCTCGTTGTTATGCCAACAGTTCAGACCATCGTCGGTTATCTTGTAGCGAAAATGCCGGTTGGTGTGACAACGTATATGTTAAACGTTCGGTGCATGCGTAGTGGTCATCGGTTCAGTCAAGGCACTCTCACCCCATCGGCAGTAATCATACTCGGCGATGGCACGTCAGGTCACGCAGACGACACTAACAGCTGTTTTTCGCTCGCCGTCAAGTTAGCTAATTTGCATACTCTGGGCCGCGTGTCGCACTCATCGTCGTCGTCATCATCATCATCATCATCATCATCATCATCATCATCATCATCATCATCATCATCATCATCATCATCATCATCATCATCATCATCATCATCATCATCATCATCATCATCATCATCATCATCATCATCATCATCATCATCATCATCATCATCATCATCATCATCATCATCATCATCATCAACATCAGATGACTGACAGTGACTGTGTACATTTTTGTGTCATTCTGCGTGACCACATGTGCAAAAACGCGGTCGAACATGGTCGCATCGCCCGCAGGTCACTAGCACGGCCGCCACTAGCCGTAGAACACAAACTACTCGGTCTAATGCGCCGTTTGTCTCTCAGCACCGATGAAACGTGAAGTAAAGTCGAAAAATAAAGTAAGATTTAGTGCCATTCTGCTTACGATGCGCTTATCACCGAAAATTCGGTCGCGTAAAAAATGTAGCGGTCTTTCCTGCTGGTTACAAACTGTCAGGAAGGTTAGATTCCTGAAAGTAATCCCGGAATGCCTTCCGAAAGGGCACCAGGGAAGCCAGCAAGCGTCCAAACCAGTCAGGCAGTCAATCGGTACAGCTGCAGCCGACGATGATATGTGTTCAGGCATTTCACAGAAGCACGACCGACGTTGGCAAGTGCTCAGAAGCACGCTGATGGGTGTTCACCCTGCGCCGATCAGACAGCCTGGATCAATGTCGAAATTGCTCACTAAATACCGCGAGGCCCCATGAAACTTCCCACCCAGTTGTCCACAGTGAAGCTGTTCTTGTCCTTGTTTGCGAGTCTTTTCCCGACACTCAGGCACCGGAGCAGGGGGAGGGGCAGCGAATGCACAAACTGTTTATCTACCCCGGCGGGCAATCTCACAAGAAAAGCTGGTCGGTTAGCTACCCTCAGGGGATTTCGCCCATACAGGAATTACCATCCTATAAAAAAGGACAAATAATTTGACGAAAACGAGGAATTCTTTGCGGCGATTTTTCAAGCGTATGCTCCAGGAAGCTTCAGGTTTCTAGTTACTGACTTTGACAGATGTCATTTGAAAGATGACTTGAGTTTTTTCGGAAGAGTGCAGAAACCTTGGAAAACTTGTAAAATAACTGGAAGAAAACATCTGATTTTCCACCGTAGCAGAGGTCGGACATTGAAAACGAGAGCAGACGTGGGTCAACAAAACATGCCTAAAATACGTCATGCGTGTCGAGCTTCTACAGAATAGTGATCAATAAATGTGCACTTGAGCATTCCAGTGAGCAAGTGGCCTCTACACGGACTTTCTTGTGAACTGAATATTTGCTCTGCTTTGTTGCACTTTTACATCTATAATAGTACGACTGCTTATTTCGCCACAACCAAATGAAGACAGTGTCGTCGGAACGAACTTTTTTCTGCGATCCTCGACGAACCTTCTCAACGAGACATTCTCGACTTAATGTCGGAATGTCATCGGCGAAGGTAAACACGCATTTCGATCGCTTGCCATGCAAATGGAAAGAAATAGAGACCAGTTCATCGATGAGGCGGTATTCATAGCTACTCCCCACGCTCCAACGTGATGCTGAATAGTGATGATGTCTGAAACCTGCCAGTTTACACATGGACTGAGATAGCCCCGATCAAGTCATCTTGATCATCTTCACCAGTGGAACGGAACCTCTCTCTTTCTTGCACATTTTCACGCACCTACAATCGTGAAACATTCGTGCCGCGCGTACTGTACCACGAAAAATGGCTTGTTTAAGTCTGGATGGGACTGTGAAATTCGTAAACTCCTCCATTCGTCCGAAAGCCGAGACTCACTTCAGAAAACGCCTCGACTATACCGCAATGGCTCTCGTCTCCGTTTGCGGCAACCGTATGACGAGGGGAATGAGTGCTCCCGCCTCTGCTCCAGCCGTTTCGAAGAGACCCAAGTCGACCAAGCCTAAGATCCGGGTAATCGACATGGTGGAGTTCTCCATCAACGCCGCGAAGGACCGCAAGGGCACGCCATCTCCGATCTTCAAGAAGTTCACTACCGCCAACTACGAGGTTGATGTCGAGAGACTTGGCCCGCACATCCGTCGTGGTATCGTTCATGCCGTCGAGAGAGCTGTCCTTGTTCGCGTCGGTAACAAGGGCAAAGGTGTGTCCGAGAGCTTCAAGTTTGCCGAGACGAAGGCCGCCGTTGCCAAACCTAAGCCTGTCAAGAAACCCAAAGTAGCCAAAGCTAAGAAACCTTCAGTCCCGAAGGATGAATGAGAGCAATACAAAGATGTCCTGACAGCCAGTGTCGAGACATTCGGTACGGAAATGTCCGCGCTTTTGAGATTTATGCGTCGATGCCTCTATTGCATGTTTACGGGCACGCAGACCTTCAGAGCGAACAAAGTTCCCCGTGTATAGCTTCGATGAATGGTTAAAACAGCTGCCCTTGTCTCATCCGTCTAACGCTTCCTTGACCCTGTCTGTCTGACATCACTCAAACACATCCGTTGCAGCCAGGCACAGGGTTTGTAGTGACATGCTCGTAAGCGAAAAAGCGTGGCGATCCAATCGCAGACAGGTGTCCGAATGTGTTTTTGGACAAATATGAATTGCCTGAAATTTTGAACACCGGGTAAGCCTGTATAAAAATTGCTTTTCAGTACTGACGGTAGAGTTCTATTCTGACTCACCGCAACCCACTAAACGGATGTGTAGTTGGCAGATAGAGATGACACAACCACTCTGAAGATCCATCACACACTGACTTCTCCAGAGTGACAGAAACCCGAAAATCAACTGTGTTTAGAATGGAACACCCTCTTGTTGAAACAAGAGGGTGATAACCTACACTCCCCTTACCTACTGGAGGAAGGCTACAGAGTGTTTGTTAGAGTAAGGGGTAATCAGGACAACGTGGACGTTATTTCGTGCCTGGCAAATAAAAATCGTTCACCTGTAACACCCTTCCGGTGTCTAGCTGCCATGCCACTCGAAGGAAGCACGAGGGCTGGGATACTGCCCAAGCCTAGACAGGAGAAATCGAGAGGCAGAGGTCGGATTCGAACCACAGACCTTCCGGTCAGTAAATTCGCGCTCTAACCACTTGGGCCATCTCGCTCCATTAGCGAAGCAAGCGTTGGCGAATGACCGATATTTCGTTTAGAGCTGTTGTGAAACGTCCATCAGTGAATGGATCATCACAAGGAATCTGTGGGAATTCGTGAAATTCAACGAGAAAGTAAACTGACGGAGCTTTCACGAAAACACTCGATGACTTCTCAGATAAAGTCTTGGAAAGTATCTTGATTTACAATCACTTTTGCCAGCCTCGGGGTTTACAATTTAAACGAATTAAGGGGATTCAACTGCTCATCTAACTTTATGAACATATCCCGCGATATCTCGAATATCGTGCCAACTGAAGCATGAGGCAGCACATTCAGCTGGAGGACATCATAAACGAGAGATTCAGTTGGGTCTCCAGTGGAAACCAAATTGATTTGCAAATGAGTGTATTTCTCGAAAACGATGGTTCAATTTGGGTTAAAGTAGAACATAAGGTAGACGGAAACTCGGGGACTGCGTGCCTACCTGATGAGCCCAGAGTGGAAGGGCGAAACCGGTCGTGGGCTGTCGAAGAGTTTTCAGCATCCTTGTGAGTAGCTTCCTTTATCAAATCTAACTAAATTCTTTGGTCCTGGTCCTCATCCATGACCCAAGTGTGAATCAGTCTGATTTTTCACCGGCCAAACTCTACACGTCAACTTGTTAACCTACTTATGGGACCTCGAATACGCGAGGGGCTGTAAGACTGAGCGCACAGCTGAAGAAACAATTAGTCATTTCTCTTGACACAATACTACTTATGTGGTTGATGAAAATCCTTGAATAACCCACTACCTTTTCCATTCTTTTTTGAGCATTGTCTCAGAATGTCTATTTCATTTGAACATCAAATTGCAAATGAAACATGGTTTGCAAATTCACTTTGTGTTCAACTCCATTGCGATTTTTTTAAATAAATTGGAAAAGAGTGGGCCTAACGGATGAACCTCAAAAAGGCCGAAACTGGTAATGGGCTGTCTAGAGTTTTTAAGTGACCTAAAGAATAGTGTCATGTGAAGGAACCCACTTTGATATATCGGACATCCATCTGAAGAATATTACACATATGCATGGTGAATCTTCAATGGAAATAGAGATTACTAAACGAATAGACAGATGGCCCTACGAAGTGGAGTCCCGTACAAGAGGGTTCAGAGGCACTGCTCAAATGAGCAAGTGGTTCGAATCTATCACCGTCTAGGCCAAGGGGGTCTGGCCATTTCTCAGCCGTTGTGCTTCCTTCGGGTATTGTGTGGTCAACGAAAGTGTGTTACAGATGGGCGATTTTTCGATACTGGACAAAGAGACGCGACCACAAACCCAAAGATTGATACAAGTTCCACATGACAACGACCAATGTTCGTGGAAGGGGGAGCGCTTGTATTTTCCGGTTTTGTTCGACGGAACGCACTACTGGACGAAATAAGTAGAATTAAGTAGAAATAAGTAGGCGTACACCGACGCAAAGCTTTAGTTCTAAGTCGTATAACATGCACACAAATCGCTTCGCACCGGTGAGCTGCACTTGCAGCTGAGTCGTCACATCTTCACACCAGGATAGTTCACAAAAGTCGATAAAAGTGAGTTAACTGACAGAGTACATACATCTCATGACTTTGGTTCAAAGGAGGCTTTGACGGACTAAAAAGAATTGTCCAGCATCGAGAATCAGTTTATCAACATAGGGATGTCCAAAGACAGTTTCGAGTCTTGTTATTTCAGCTTGTTTTGTGCTGACAACGGTTCAAAGGAGCACGAAGAAATCAAGTTTCCTTTACCGTTGGGAAACAAATGGAGTGGGAGGAAGGAGAAAACACTTGCAAGACTGTTGAAGCCCCCCCAAAACGAACAACACCAAGAGTAGGAACTGAGAGGAATTAGCTGTTTTGAAACTTTGCAGGCTAAATCAAGTTTGAATAATCCAAACTCGCTTTTTTGAAAAATCCTCCAAGCTATATTTTTGTAATGTACTACTCATAAGGTTGCTGAAAACCTGTCGACAGCCCACGACCGGTTTCTTTCTTCTTCGGGTTGGCTCATCATGTAGGCGCAGTCCCCGGGTTTCCGTCAACCTCATGTTCTACTTGAAACCCAATTGCACGAAACTAGCGAATATACACTCATTTGCAAGCTAATTTGGTTTTTCGAGAGACTCACCTGGAACCCAGCTGAATCTCTCGTTTGTGATGTTCTCAGGCAACTGAATGTGCTACACCAGGCCGCCTCATGTTTCACTCGCTACGATGATATTCGAGATATCGCGGCAAATGCATACTTTGTAATGCGCTACTCATAAGGTTGCTGAAAGCGCCTTGACAACCCTATAAGTAGCCCAGAAGCAGGATTAATTCGCACGACGGGTGTACCTTCTATCTGAGAAGTCGTCATTTGAGAAACCAGTAAACACGTGACCTTGCTGATGTGAATTCCGTGTTTGGACAGTGAGTGGTGCTTGATTATGTCTGTCTAAGTGTGAGATAGTCAGACTGCCAGTAAGGATGAAACAGTTTTACAGTGCTTTTCGGCTTTTCGGCATCGATCGGTTTCACTTAGAATGAAGAAACCTCACTTGAAAAATTTCAAACTCTCCTCGCGTTACCAACAAAGCTGTTGAAGCTGACTAATGGTTGAAGGAGGGGACAGATGTCTCGGGTCCCACTTGTGACAGAATTTCCTGGAAAAAAGGGCTCCTAATGTAACCATATTGAGAGCATATGGGGATAAACTTGGAGAGCCTATGGATGACTTCTCTGAACGGGAATCACCAAATCGCTCTGTTGTTTCATTAGTCAGTTCTCAGCAGTTTTCATAATTATGCACCTGTTCTACCGCGATCGATTTGACGTTTTTCACCGAATACGAATACACTCAGGCCGCAGTGATTTCACCAGAACTCAAACAGTCTTTCCACACTATTTTTTTTGTGGGGATGATTTAAATCTGTCTGTTCCCCTCCAATAATTATTAGTTCAAGCATGAGTGAAACACCGCGCATAAACCGGAAGCGCGAAAATGCGAAATTTTCACCCCAACAACATAGGCCTGAAGGCCGATGGTCAAAGTTATGTAGCCTAGGGCACGCATCACTCGTCTAACCACTACAATGCCCGAAAGGATATTAGAACTCCGCATTCCCTCCGGTTTCTTGTGTCGGAAAACCACGTTTGAAAAAGTGACACTACCGCACTGGATACTCACTCACTTAACGTAGTCAATCCAAGTCAAGTCATCACCGGGAAAACCACAGTTTCAAGCCTGTTTCACTCCTGGGAGACCCTAGCACAAGCTAACGGTGTGACGTCCCGTCAGACTGGAACGCTTCTCAGTGAGGGACGCTATATGTTGAAGGGCAGATAAACGCGTCCATATAAAACCAAGTAGATTTCAGTGAACGGAACAGAAGACAGTCACCAGCGAGCGAAACTTCGATGACTGGGGAGCTCTGTGAGTATATCAGTAGTCATTGAATGAAAAACAGAAGATACCGAACAACATGTTCGTCCCTGTAGTTGCGGTTGGCCGCTTGCATATTTTGTTGTGACAGGTTTGATTAGCACATTCGGTACACATCAGGAACTATGAGATCATTCGTGGTCATCTCTGGGGGGATTGCAACACTCCCATTGCAGGAAAAGAATGAAATATCATACTTCCTTATCACCATATAGTTGCATAAACTCTCACGTGGCCCTTTGTCCTGGGGTTCTGTACACGGGGATGAGATGGCTCAGTGGTCAGAGCGCGAATCCTCTGACTGGAAGGCCCGTGGCTCGAACCCGAGCTCTGCCTCTCTACTTCTCCTGTCTAGGCTTGGGCAGTATTCCAACCCTCGTGCTTCCTTCTGGTGGCAGGGCAGTTGGGCACCGAAAGGGTGCTACAGCTGAACTGTATACATGTTGCTTCAGAAGTGAAAACGAATAAAAACGTATCCCCCCTGACCGTTTTCACAGCCTGAGTAAACTGGACCACATGGGCGAATTTCTATTCAATACTGGATTAAACCCATCGCTGCAACCTTCCAACACGCAATCCTCAACGTACTAAGCTTCCATACCGCATTCCAGTTAAAAAAAACAATAAAATAGCGTGGCGCAGTCTTTGGGCACAGTAGCAGCACAGTAGCGCTTAGTACACTCAACAGAACTACACCACTCAAGCAACTATTTATCAAATAAAAAGATAATCGATCAGCTGTAACACCCTTTCAGTGCTTAGCTGCAATGACACCGAAGTAAGCGCGGGGGCTGGGATACTGCCAGCTTGCCCAGGTCTAGACAGGAGTCGAAATGCAAGGTCGGATTCGAACTACGGACCTTCCGGTCAGTAAATTCGTGCTCTAACCACTGATCCGTTTCGCCGAACTTTTTTATTTGATCGTCGATGATATAAAATTGGGGTTTGCTTGAACGAGACTACTCACAAGTTCGCTGAAAACTCTTCAGCAGACCACGGCCATTTTTGCTCTCCAAATTCGACCTCATCGGGTAGGCAAAGTTCCCACAAAAACCGAATCGGTGTTCAACTGAGTCTATCTCCCTAATTTCGTACGATTTGGGTTTAAGTAGAACGTATGATTGACGGAAATTCGGGGATACGCCTAGCTGAATAGCCGGAACTGGAAGGGCGAAATCGGTCATGGGGTGTTGAAGAGTTTTTTTGCCGACTTTGTGAGTAGAAGATATACGGAGATACCTGAAACAGGAGTTGGGCGATGTGCAGCTCATTCAGCTGAACAGCAATGTCATAGAGGAGAGATCCAGCTGGGATTCAGTGAAGTCTCCCAAGTGCAAACGAGTGCGATTTGGAAATTAAAGTTTTTGCTTTCTGTGTAATGCAGCCGCTCGTAGTTTATGAAAAGTGCGAACTACATTGTCATTACTCCCCAAAGCACTTCCAGTACGTGGTTGAACTCCGGTTTCACTTATCGCATGCACAATGTGGAACCCAAGCGCCTTGCCTGACTCATGAGAACGTGGATAGTTCCCACCCTCCCCCTCAACTGTCTCTAGTTTCCCACTTCCATCCACCTTCTCGTAATACGTAATCTCAAGTGCGTGTTTACCTCATCTCGGCTTTCATCTGAAAACTCCAATTACCTGAGTGAGCATTTATAGCTTCCGTTTTTCGTCCCCTTGTTCAACCTGCTACACGTCGCTTGATTCACGTCATACGCTTTGATAAAGCTGCCGGCTTTTCTGTTCTCCTAACAGTCGGTGGTGGAATGTGATGCCGCAAAGTTGTGTCTTGTTCGTTCTTTGTTCTTCTTGCTTCAGGGTAACACACATGAATCAGCTTAACAACCAGATTGAAAATCATTTCATTAACTCTCACATTATTCCATTGAATACCTATGAGACTTATTGTTCCGCTCATGCTGATCTGTCCTGGTGAAACGAGGAGAGCTCTTTGGTGCGAAGTCATTTATTTGTCTACTCTCATACTTCGTCAGTAGTATCCAGCGTCTCACTGGTACTGACTTGTGTCAAGTCGTTATTTTGTTCCGGTTTGTACACTTATCAAGTATTGCCTTGCAGAGTGATTCTCAGCCGGAGCAGAAGAACAGTAATCTGCAGTAATCTTGTATTTTATTGTCATCGTTGGCATGCATGCGGGTTAGTCAAAACGAATGAATGCCTATAAAATATCCGTGCTTATTGCGGCTGTAGGTGGGTAAGATCCAACCACATTTATAGTAATGAGTTCCATGTACTCAAACGAATAGTAGTACTATTAGTGTCGCAACTGTTTAGCCAGACGACGTCGAGGGGAGCATCTGTTGCCTTGGTCCTTGAATCGAGTGCAGGAAGTAGAAAAGTTGAGAAAGGTTTATCTAGGGCGTTTCAACCAAAACGGACAGTGAGACTCGGGCAACCTAGGTGTGACCGGGGCCACTGACACTTGAGATTCAGCCCATTACGTGGTGAACCGAAACTAGGTCACCTGTGTCCAACACCTCGCTTTGCACGGCGGGTGACCTTAACGGTTGCGGCTCTGGGCATGCCCCGACAGGTCCCGACCTACGGTCACAAAGCTTGTTGTGTGGGCCTGTCATGCGCCAACCTGTCCGACTAACGGGGTACGACAAATGTTCACGCGCGGTTGAAATTGTGCCTTGTCACCCGGACCAAATTGTCTTGTTTAGTTGGGGGAGTCAAGTTTTTTCTCATCATGGTACGTAACCTCATTCATGCGACTTCTTGAGGGTGTTAGGAGGGATACAACTTCAGTGATCCCTCAACTACCAAAATATTTTTCCCGCTGAGGCAGTCTTCCCCTGGTAGTGGTGCACACTTTCTGCACCGCAATAGTGAAACTGATTGTGCATGTATCTTTTGATGGCGTGCTGGACTATTTGGAACTTTTCCCCCCGCCAAAAAATTAACCCCCGCCACCCAAAAAAATTAAAAAAGGAGGATAAGAAAGGTGTAGTTTTCGTTTTTATTGATGAAGATGAAATTGGGACATGTCATTAATAATTTGCATGAAAAGGTCCAGTCGTTGGATGGACAAAGTTTTCGGTATGACTAACCCTTACATGAGCATAATTCATTTCAATCATCGTTCTCAATTCCTTGGTATGATGCCCTCATATTGGAGATGATGATTGAGCCGGGAGCAATGCAGGCCTGCGTTGTGTCCATCAAAGTGGCACTACATACGTGAGCATCTCTTTAGTTTCCCGGCAGATGCCTTAGAAAATCCACCGCTGGGGAAGGACTTGCCCTGCGTGGTCTTTTTTTACATTGATATAGTAACGTTTCATCGATCTCGACGTGTAGACCTGGGTCACCGATAACTGATGGAGTCTTCAAAAGCCGCCACCATGCGCAAACTTCGCGAAGAAAGTTCGTCCGGTCAACAGCGGTCCTGTGGCCAATAGGTAATTCCTCTGAACAGAATTTGATTTTTGCCAAATTTTCGGACCAGAAATAAACAAATAGATATCTTTGTAATGTACTACTCATAAGGTTGCTGAAAACCCGTCGACAGCCCGCGACCGGTTTCGTCCTCCTTGGGGCTCGTCAGGTAGGCACTGTCCCCGGGTTTCCGTCAACCTCACGTTCTACTTGAAACCAAATTGCACGAAATTAGCGAATATACACTCATTTGCAAGCTAATTTGTTTTTTCGAGAGACTCACCTATAACCCAGCTGAATCTCTCGTTTGTGACGTTCTCAGGCAAAACTGAATGTGCTGCACCAGGCCGCATCATGTTTCAGTCGTTAGGATATTCGAGCTATCGCGATAAACATATATATTTTGTAATGCACTACTCATAAGGTTGCTGAAAATCCGTCGACAGCTCACGACCGGTTTCGCCTTTTTTGGGCGAACATCAAAAACGGGAGATTTAGCTGGGTTCCAGGTGAGTCTCTCGAAAAACCAAATTAATTTGCAAATGACTGTGTATTCGTTAAACAAAGAATTACTATCCTAAACTCCATCCTAGACCGTTCCAGCCAACGCCGCTTTCGAAGACCGATTTCTTGCCACATCCGTGGACCAATGCAATGGCATGGTTGAACTTTCAAGTTATCTGCAACAGGAATCATCAAGTCCTTAGTGGAAGTGACGCTTTAGTGTGACCATATCTATTTTTTCCAGTCCAAAACCTGAGCTGAAGCGTTTTAGACGTATTTTTGATCCAGGCTTACCTGGAACACCGTCCTTAACAGCACTTCATGGAATCGCGTTGAAGAGTTACGGTGCACGGTGTACAATCCTATCAAGGTGATTCATATTTCTCTGGTATCACAGAAACTAAACTCCGAGCTATAGACAGGTTATAACATGTCTGAGGAGACTCCGTTTCATAGATCATGTTCCCAACGATGGAGCAAGTCGCGTCGAAACTAGTGGGGAATCAAACCACTGCTCAGAAGTGGAGAACGAAGAACAGTCTGCCATAGGGACCGCAACCAACCATGTACCTTGTATTTTTCATTTTGTTTTCGTGATCACCTACAGACATCCTCAGACATTCGTAGTGTTTGATGACCAGGACGCATGATCGTTCTTCTGACGCTGGTTCTTCTCGATACTACTATCCAATTTTAGTTTCAGCAGTTTAGTAATACAGTTATTAACCGCATTTTACCTCATAATTGAGAAAAAATTAATTGGCCGCTTTCGAGGGTGCACGCTGTTCGGGGGGAGCACTGAATTGTAAGCCGGTGCTGATCTTGAAATCCCTGTCATCTGGGTTATTACGAGCGAGTAGGTTTGGTGCCATTCGGTTGGGATGCAATTGGGAATTGCAAAGCACGACTGTTTTTCGTGATACAGGATTGCCCTGCTGTAGTATGGGAAACTGAAGATTTTTGAGAACTCGATAAATAAAGCGTTGTTGTGATTTGCCTCGTTCGATATTCAAACATTCGTTAACCGATCAGTCTACTGCAACTATGCCTATGCCATCCTACAAGGCAGCATTTATCCACAGATGTACGCGTTGCTTGGTGTGCAGTACACCTCTATAAAAGCCTCCATTTAAGTAGTATCTCAAAGGAATAACTGCGGTAGTTTTCAATCTTTGTCCTGTTTCAAAACACATCTAGAACGGGGAATCGCCTACAGGACATGTCTCTCAAGAGCCAGGCGGGAGATATTTCTTCCAGAATCTTCTATGGTCACTGGATAACGCCAGTCCCATCAAGACAGAAAAAGACAACCAGAGACAGGCGAATGATAGTTTTTGGCTGAACGCGTAGCTCACATAATTTAGTTACTGTGTGCTCCTGAAACACTAATATTTCACGAACTGTCTTCCAGGAGCTGCCTGCCGCTTTCCCAAGAAATAGAGAAGGTTGTAGGAGACTTTAGCATTGTCTAGCATCGCTAGATACCATAAAGAAATCAAGAAACGACAATTTTTCGTCAAAGACCATTCAAGGACCGATCGGAATTTTCAGTCTACCCAAGTTAACGTCCGAAAAAGACCCAAAGTAACGCGCACAGAAAGCCGCTATTGGATACGACACATCCGAGATTCTTACATGAATAACAGAGGTTCTGAACTCGTTTAGATTTTCCGTTACCCATTCGATTTGCACTGGCACTTTGGAGCGAAGGTTGACGGAATCTTGGGGACTGCGCCTACATGATGAGCCCCCAAAACAGCGAAACCGGTCGAAGAATTTTCAGCAACCTTATGAGTAGTGTATCACTCGTCGGTTTTTTCACCGAACCGTATATTTCATGTGTGGACCCGTTTTCTAATCAATATTTAGCTCAAGACTAATAGGATTTCATTTCAAATTCTGTTTTTTCTCGAAGCCCCATTAACTCTCGTCGATGATCTTCGATAATGTCTCATGCAAAGAGGTAATTCGATCCATTGGACACCTTGAAGGCATACCTGTCTACCATCGAAGGATACTGTTAGCCTGCTTGATGATACTACCTGTAAAAATAATGTTCGTACTTGCTCTTCTGACGTGGATCGTCATAAAGTTGCGGCTAGAAACCGATGAAAATTCAAACATGTAGGAGCTGTGAGACTTAACTGATATGGAGGCAGGTGGGGTGACTAGGTTGTGCTCACTAACAATGGAAGAACTGAATGGATGAGTTCACTATCGTAGAAACATACTTGGAGCATCAGCGTGAGACAAGTTCGTGATCCCACCCCAACACCTGGTATGAACAAATCTGGGATAAATACTTTTTCAAAGGTACAGAAGCACGACGGATTTGTAATGCGGTACGGCACAGTTAACATGGAATGACATCCAAGCTTTCGCGTGAACAAGGCGTGCGCCCGAAGTCCAGTCTTTCAACATTTTGACGAGTGCAGTTGTTAGCTGTCCTGTGAAGTATGTGAAATCATCCGGCTGCGAAAGAGGCTGGTTTGGGTTTTGATCGGACGCGGAACAAGAAATACAACTGTCTTCAGTGACGTTTCAACCTTTTGACCCGCGTCAGGTACCACTCCACATGGACGGACGGAAACATGCTACTAGCGGACCTACTTCAAGGGAAGATGAATGTGGAGACGCCTACATCTTCTTTGACGTCGCCGGCTTCTCCTTGTATTTTTACTGCAGAAAGGTTGGAGAGCATTGGGGATCGTTCTTATCACAAGAAAATTTGTGCCAAATTGCGTCGCTTTCGTCCAAGACAGATGTGAAAAAGTGCGATCAGGAAAAATTAGGTCACTCAGCTTCCAAACGCAGAAGCTTCTCCAAACCCGATGAGTTACGTCTATCCTGTCAGGAATAATTTGAAAATTTCCTGAAAATCTATGTCAAGTTAGTAAAAGTAGAGTATCCCAAGTTCAAGGTTCCCCAACGTACAGTTCTCAGTATTTGGTAAAAAAGTTTATCCTGTCTTAGAGTACTAAAACAAATTTTAAGAAATAAACTCACTGGACAAATCGTAGGATCGCTGACGTATTTGTATTTAACAAGAACTGTCGCTTCTCTCTTGCTGGCGAGTCATCGCTCGAAGCGCACCGATAGTTTGAACTGCGGATCGCATTTGGTTTCATCCTATCTATTTCGATGTGAAGACCAACGAGATGGACTAGATAGGCCTCATAATAATAAAATCACGGAAATGACTTGGTTGGATTCAGTCATGTTGTAATAAAATGACCGCAATCAACGGTTTGATTCATGCCACAAAGAAACCGTAACTACGGGCCAATAGAATTCAAGTACGGGAAACCGACCGCTTTTATCCACTTTTGAGGCTTCTCCGTGCTAACCTTCTTGTTCGAGCACTTCTCACTGCAGACGTACGTTTCACCATCATATATTTATCCATAAATCCACTTTTGTTCCATTTTATTTGGTGGAGAATAACGATAGTTGGCCACCGATGTGGCAGTGACTAGTGCGCTGCGCGGTGGATGATGACAGACACAAGTGGAAATTTAATCAAGGATTCCCGAGAATCCTGAAAACATACACAAACAAAATTCACATGGGAGTATGATATGAGCATGGAGAATATATGGGCAAAGTTTCAGCGAGATCAAACAGAGTTTAGAGGAAAAAATTGAGTTTGATTTTCAACAGTGTGTGCAATAGTGGCGCAACAATCCGAAGACTGAGTTGACTTTTAGGCTACATTCCGCTGGAACCAAATAATTTAAAGAAACCAAAATAACTTAGTCGGCTTCTTAACAAACCCAGGACACTACTCAGTGGGACAAGTTTGATCAAGATGGTTCTTCGGTTGAAAGAGGGCCCTTCAAATTCAAGAATACGAACAGAAATTTCAAAATTTTTGTATTCAATCGCAATTGTTTTGAACAAAGAAAAGTGAGTGAACGTGTGGTAATGTATTTCCCAAAGCCTAGTTTGCTGGCTTTCGAATGGTGTACAATAGTTTTGGTTACGGCAAACAGGAGCAGAGTTACAGGGATTTTTATACACCCAACCTCATTATTCACGCGCATGCGTGTGCTATTGAAGTGCCGTGCGCGTTTGCCGAGAACTTGATTGCGTCGTGGTTTGGAAAACATTCTACTTAAACGTGTGAGCGCGTGGTCCGTGTGTCTGTGAACTGTGCGCTGCGCTTTTCCTGTGCTCGTTTGGCAAAATGTCTGCTGCTGTTGCACCTGCTGCACCTAAAGCCAAGAAGGTTGTGAAGAAGGCTCCATCTGCCCATCCTCCTTACTTTGACATGGTCAAGCATGCAATCAAGGAATTGAAAGAAAGGAACGGATCGAGCCGACAAGCAATTGCCAAGTACGTGAAAGCTCACTACAAAGTGGATGACAAAGCCGACAACCACATCCGTCGGGCTTTGGTTAGTGCTTTGAAGGCGGGCAAATTAACACACACGAAGGGTATCGGAGCTTCTGGTTCCTTCAAATTGGCCGAGAAGGCTCCGAAGACTGCTGCTAAGCCTAAGGCCGCGAAGAAACCCAAGACCCCGAAGAAGGCCGCGGCGAAGAAACCGAAAACTCCCAAGCCCGCAGCGGCGAAGAAACCCAAAGCAACTAAACCAAAGGCCCATAAGCCAAAGAAGGCGAAGACACCAAAGAAAGCTGCAAAGGTAAGTGATCATCTGGCGGAGGTCGCCTAGTAAACCTACCGCCTATCAGAACGTGGTTCTACTGTAGTTGTTTCCCCCTTCCAGACCATCAAGCCGAAGAAGCCAGTAGCGAAGAAGACACCGAAGAAGGTCGTCAAAAAGGCCAAGTAAATGCTTCGCCACACGATTCCTTCCTTGTACATAGCCCATTCCGCCTATCACCTGTCTTATTCCCTTTTGAACACTGCCTGTTCAGGAGATTGTATTTTATTTACTTCGTATACATATACTTGACAATTAACGTTCTCCATCTTGTCTTCTCGCTCGTCCCTGGGGTCTGCGGTCCGCACAAAGCGTCTGCGGGTGAGTGGGGACTTGGTCGTGTAGCCGCAGCGCTTTGTAAGGGTTCTCGAGCGTGTCACCCGGTCTGTCCCTGTTTGGTGCGGTGCCCCGGGTGAACGGGATGCGCCTCGGAACTGGCCGCGGTGCAGTTCACCTGGGATAGGTCGGCGTGGCCTACCTGTTCTCTCCTGAAGGGGGGGGGGGCGGTGTACAGTGTGGACGTCGTTTCGTGTTGTCATTTCCTATCTGGGTTGCGCCACCCTGCGAGTTCGTGATAAGCTGAATTGGGGTTAACTGTACGTGATCGCTCGGCAATGGACTGGGTTTTCTCTGGTGCGTCTGCGTTTTTAATCCGGATCCAGTTGCGAACTGGTCTATCGCCTCGTTCGGTTCTGTATTCGGTTTTGTGATTTTGAGACGGCTCCAACCGATCCAGCTTTTCTCCCTGCGGTGGTCGTGCTTCATTCCGTCCTAGTTACGAGGTGGGCATTTTATTTCCTCGATTCATTGCAACGCCCAAGTGCATACACCCATCGACCGTGGGTGTTCGGCAACATCCTGTGGTTCCGTTTGTTCGACCTTAAGATAGCACGGTCCTATTCCCGTGTCGGCTTTGACCGTCGTTTTTAAGACGCTTGCTAGGGTGAGGGACTTCCGAGTGCTTACAAAATAGCTCTGAGCAGGCAAATTGAAGGAACTTGGTAACTAACAGCTCGTTGGATCTGGAGTCTGTCGCACGATCAACCCAGGTGTCAAACCGTCTCTGGATTTGGGACACTATATTGGGGTGGTGCAGGTGAGCCACTTGTCGCGAAGACGACCCCCCATTCACATCACGCCCTATCTGCCAATAACAAATAAAGCTTTCCTTTGTACCTCAGTGGTGAGCTGGGTGAAATTTGCAAGGCCATCTTTTTCCCTGAAATTTTAATCCAAAGTTTGGTTTATTTCATCACCAAAAGACCATTGCACTGATTAGATGGTCACCATATAATCTACGACCGTTCGCCAAGGTCATCCGACAGGTTTCTTAATGAGTGAACTTATTGAATTTATCCGTGGATACTGTGTGTACATGTTCTTACGTTGTGAAAACCTCTTTCCTCTCCACCATCTCCGGTATAGCTCCATACGGTGTTTATGCGGGCGTTCAGCGTGAGGTTCTCATCGCTGTCTGCGTGATTGGGCTCGTTATCGTCACGCTGAGTGGATGTCTTCTTGCCGGTTGGTTCGTTAAATCACGTCGCCGGAAGGCACAGAGAATTTTGGGGAAACGGGAACGTGAAAGATGGCTATTCGAGCAACATAAAGCACGCAAGCACTGCTATGATCGTGTTCTGAAAAGTGACCCATCAATGGATATTTTGAGCCACCGGATGGCTTCTACTGGCAGGCTGACACCTCATCAGCTTCATCTGTCCAGGGAGACACTCATTCCAGAGGTAAGAGTTCTTGACAGTTTTAGAAATCGCTGAAACGCTAATACTACCACTAGGCTGATTTTGCAAACCGGTCCAGTTGCTGGTGCGCTGTGACCACTGGATGGACCAATTCTGCAAACCAACTTGACTACTTGAAAGTAGGCAAATAATAAAATCGAATAAACCACTGAACCTGGAATTGTCTGGGTACGGTGTCTCGGAATTTGCCATTGTGCTGTACTCACAATACAAGAACGTATTGTTTCTCCGTCTTCTAATTCAGGTGAAATTACGTACGATTCGGCAGCAGGGATACATATAAGTCATTTTACTGTGATGTTTAATCATATGGTATTGTCTATGTATACGTGCAACGTGAACAGTTGTTACAGCCACATCGGTTCGTCGTAGGTGCAGAATAGAGGACCATTAGTGGCGGCCTAGACTTGTCAAATACCATTCGGTGGGAGCTGATGAGTTCCCAGTTGTATAGAGTGAGCTGACAAGCTCTGACAATCAGCTTTAAAGTTTCAGACACAATCTCCAACGCGACGGATGGACAAACTATACAGTGACCCGTGTGTTTCTGGGTGAAACCCATGTGGTTTCGGACGATCGTGTTGATTTAAAGCATCACCTCGAGACGCGTCAGTTTTCGATCGGTCCTCGGACTGGTTTACCTCTTCTAGGGGATCAACTCGCAGGGCTTCGGACAGACCTTGATAATATGTGGTTAGGTTTGCGGAATTGGAAGCCAGCCATGATTTTATACTGAGGATGTCTCATGAATAACACTGAAGATGTTTCTCTGGAGGACGCGTTGGAGTCCTTTTTATAAATCATTTTCAGCAATCATTCAATCGCTCTGTCAGGAAGAGCCATCTTCCCTCTGACAAAACAATATACGATGGAAAACTAAGGGTGGCCTGAGGTGTAGTGTGGTGTAAACGCCACGCCACCAAAATGAGTTGCGAAGAACTGCAGTCGCGCCCCTTGGGACATTTGTTTTCTAAAAGTCGTCAAGCTTTCATGAAGTTAACTACTCACAAAGTTACTGAAAACTCTTCGATAGCCCACGACCGGTTTCGCCCATCATGGGGCTCATCAGGTAGGCGCAGTCCCCGAGTTCCCATCAACCTTATGTTCCCAAATTATGAACCCAAATTGGACCAGTCCTTCATGAAAATATACTGCGACGTCTCGAATATCGTACCAACTGAAACATGAGGCGGCCTGTGTGCATCGCATTCAGTTGTAGAACATCATAAACAAGAGATTCAGTTGAGTCTCTCGTGAAAACCAAATTGTTTTGCAAATGAGTGTATTTCTCGTCGAGCTTTCATTTCTTCCTAGGGATTCGACCCTCATCGCCACGGATTTTTCGGAAAAAAGTCACTGTACGTGTTGGTTTTAGTTTAACGCATATGAAATATTCCGATTTAGATAAATTTTGTTGTAAAACCGAATCAATTTATTTCGCGAATTGTGTGCCATTGAGGCCCGAGCAGAACAAAAAGTTCACCGAGGGAAAACTCGGGGACTGCATCTACCCGATGAGCCCGGATGAAGCCGGTCGCGGGACATCGAAGGATTTCCAACAACCTCTTCCAAGAAGACTTGTGTGAAGAAATTTCCCAATGCTCAATCCTAAATTAACTTCTGTTCTATAAAAAAACTCATCTGGAAAAATGGTTTCCAGAAAACTCAGTAACAGCTTACAGCTGCCACTGGTGTTTATATCCGTGGTGGCCTACCCGAAGTGCTTCCTGTTAAGAGCTCCAGTGTTAGCTTCTCCATCAGTTTCATGGAGATTTCGTCTTGTAATTGGAACCAATCTATGCTGAGAAGTACCGTACAGTCGTTTCACCCTTATTGGGAATCGTCAGGAGTGCTCGTCTCAAGAACTTCCAGGGAGTTTCGAACCCACGAACTCGTGGATGGTAGTTTGAACAGCTGACCGTTCGGTCACGAGCAGCTGATCGGCGTTGTACTTAAGTGGTAATTAAACAGGATATAGTGCCCAGCCATGGGAACTACATCACCTGGTCACGTGTTACTGACTCTTCAAGTGGCGAGGTTTCAGATGGACTTTTCACTCGCTATGTAAATTTGTTCTTCCTTTAAGCTACTTAAATATGGTAGGTATATTTGTTTGTTTAAGGTTACCATCATGTCATACCCACCAGATGAACGAACTTCCGTTTGGAACCAGATCTTTCGCTTTTCAGGGTTACACAAACTTAGACAGCTCAGTGCCTACACCGTCCAGGAGACACCTTCGATGGATTTCGACAAACTTTCCTTGAAGAGGAAAGTAGGATAATGACCACTAGGAAGTTCACAGAACGTCTTGTGTACATTCGATCCCACGGGTATCCGGGTCTTTTTCGACAGCCTTCATGACGGTGCGACGGAATTTTCTATTTCATCCAAAGTGATTGTTTCGCGATTCACACATCCTGGCACAGCGTGTTGACACCTGTCATCAGCCCGCGTCATCTAGATCATGAGGAATTAGTGGTTTTCAGTCTAGACAAACTCACGAAGACATTGGTGATTCTGAGTAACTAAAGCAGATTGTATTGTGGTGAACCGTTTCATCTTATTTCTCAACTGTATAAACTTTAATAATGTCATCTGTGCGTATCCAGGGCCAGATACCGGTTGAGTTAACTCATTTTCATTGAAACGGTTAGTTGTAGCATCTTTACGGAGCCTAACTGCCATGCCACCCGAAGGTTGCACAAGGGCTGGGATACTGCCAGGTTGCCCAAGCCTAGACAGGGAAAGTCGAGAGGCCGAGGTCGGGTTCGAACCACGAACCTTCCGGTCAGTAAATTCGCGCTCTAACCACTTGGGCCATCTGGCTCCTAGGTTGGTGTTCGGGATATGCTTCTACTATGAACTTCGGAGACTAAGTTCACCTGATGAGCTCCAAAAAGGTCGGAATTACTCGTGCTCTCCAGAATTCTCATTGACCTTGGCCAGCACATTGAAACCTACCCTATTTCTCTCTGCATGAACTTTTCGAGTGGTGGTTAGTATTGGCGATTAGAATCGTTGGCCACTACAGGAGACCAATGAACCGAACGAAATCGGTCATGATAGAGCGGCCTGGTAAGTGTGTTGTCCGTCAAAAAACCTGACTTATTGAGGAAAAGACGGGAGATGTAACTGAAAACTTTTCTCCAAAAAAACGAAAGCTGAAATGTTGTTACGACAAGAGCTGGTATGCCCAGAATGGACTGTGTTATTTTTTAACCTCAGCAGACCAAGGGAGACACGAACATCAAACTGCTGAGCAAGCAATCTTTACTGTTAAGGTGTTCTTTCAATGATGGTATCGTCTTTTACAGATCCCTGTCCACGGGACCTTCGTGGAATCCAACTTCTGGACAAACTTCTGTTTCCCTTTGGCCCTCCATGAAGTTAAAGACGGGATCATTGCACTTTCAGGGGACGGTTTCTTCCTCATGAATGATATCGCTATATTGTTAGTAACTTTTGAAATTCAAGGTCAACATTCACGTTCCCTGGGACTGAGGGAATAAAAAAATTCAAAATAGAAAATGAGTCGTGGGTTAGTTGTGGAATGACTGCATCAGACGGATTAAACTGTCTTTTTCCCCGAGTTGAACTAGACTACTCAAACATGTCGGCGATTCTCGACATCTCCCAACACTCCCCTCCTTAGCAGTGGGTGGGGGTAATGGATTCATGTTAGAAAAATTCAAATACGGCAAACAGAGCAAACCTGGGCTAGCCATTTAATGTTTCTGCATCGTTCTCCTGTGTTATCCTTGCAGAGCTTAGATTTCGCTCCTGGCCACGCAGTTGTGTCCAGTGACGCTTCATCCCAACCCCCGTGCAAAGTGCACTAATTCGCTCTCCATGCCGCTGTTGGACCAGTGTTTGCCTGAAACATGTTGTAGTAGAGAAAGACCAAACTGGACTACTACTACAATACGGCGATACTACTGATGAGGCATGCGAGTAATATGTGGTTTTCTCGTGATTCTGCCTCGCGTCTACTGATAAATAAACGGACAAGAGCTTTCCTCCCTACACTACTACAGCAGACTATGTTAGGCAGTGTATTTACATCAATCCCATATGAACATGCCTCTTTCTGTCCTGATGCATTCATTTTGGTGGGTCAACACTACTGAGTTGAAAGACTGGATTCTAGTTTGGCTCCGCAGCATGGTATATCTATGGCTCAAACAGGGCGGGAGGCGAGCGCGTTAGGTGAATAAGACTGAGCGAAGGCTGTGCATTGGGAAACCAGAATGGCTGATTGGTTTGGGATTGATTTTCTCTGCCAGAATGGCTGATTGGTTTGGGATTGATTCTCTCTGTTTCTCTATGCGCGTTTGTTTTAGTGTTCTGAACGATTACGTTTGCTGACACGGTTTTATTTGACTCGGGCCGGACACAAATTTTCGGTGGTTGTGTGAAAGCCTCAATGTTCTGTATTAAAATTTCGTCCATACGTAAGCAGGGAAACAAATTTGGAACCATCCAAAGAAGATTCAGTGCGTTTTACCCAAGAGCAAGGGAAAACGGAGCAGAAAACTCGGGAGTCTAGGCCTTACAAACTGCGGCGACACCTAATAGGCACCCAAAGGGTGTTACAGCTGAACGGTCTAGGTCTTACAAACTGCGGCGACACCTACGTATTTCACCACAAGACACTGGCATTTACTTAGAGATGAAGATGTAATCCAGTAGGGCAGAATCAATCCATATTCTGAAAACCCGCAACTTACTGCCCAGATGTTTCGTCCTTCTTGAGGATCGTCAGGAGAGCATTCCTCATGAATCTCTGAGGGATTCGAACCCACGAGCTTCCTGATAGGAGCTCAAGAAAAAGTTAAGACCAAAACCGAACTCAACATGGTGCTTCTCAGTTCCGAAGGATATGACCCAAAAAGTTTCTGGAGTAGCGGATCTCAAATCACAGGATGGAAGATGTTTCGGATGTCCGTCTCAGCCTAGTAACACCCTCCGGGTATCCAAAACCAACGGTAAATTCAAGGCTGAGGGATTCAAAGGCAAAATCCAACGGGTTCGTTGAGTGGGGGCTTGCAGATAGCACGAACCTGGAATTGTACCAAGCTTCGGTAGGCTTAGCCGGTAAGAGTTCTTGGAGGAAAACCGACTGAGGCTCATGGATGCACCGCTCCAGGAACTCCACAGCTTTGTTACTGCTGCAACTGGCATCGTACTGACATCGACTAGGAGTTTGTAGCCAACTTTTATCCTAGTTGACTGAATACAAGAACAAAGCAGGTCTCACCAGTGAGCGGTAGACATCTTAAATAATCGATACAACGCGCAGATTACTGGTGTAACGACTGTACACGACAGATCAACGCGTACGGTCGCGTCCAAGTTGAGAGAAAAGTTCTGTTAACGGTCACAACACACACAAAATATCTACCTACCTACCATGTGCTCCGTTTGTCTTCTTTTGATGTTGGCGGTCTGATAAAGTTAGACGAAGGAGGCTGAGTGAATGGTTTTCTTAACTCCATTATACCCGCATTCACTCATCCGTAAACAGGACTGGTTCAACTCTCCGACACTCCGAAAAGTCTCCGTACTGTCTTGACAAGGTAGCGTCGAAAGAACAAAATATTGCTTCTACAACAAACGCCTCATCAATCCACGTGATCATTTGTTCTCCAATGTGGGAAATGTCGGTCGCAGGTTTTGTCGAAACACGTGAATGTTTCATTGGGGACAGTGTGGGTCTGAGTTCAGCTTTCTGTCCACATTCGAACCACTTTGACTGCCCCTGCTATTCACACACACACACACACACACACACCGCATGCCAACTAGGTTGGTGCAGTGCGGTTCTATACCATCAGTTCTATTCACGCGCCCTTCGTAGCGCTCAGCCGTGTTAAAAACTCAGCCTATTCTGGCGAAATACATTCATTTGCATACCAATTCGGTTTTGATGGGAGACTCACCTGGAGGTCAGCTAAATCACTCGTTTATGGTGTTTCTAAGTAATAGAATGTGCTGTACCAGGCCACCTCATGTTCCGGTTGACACGGTATTCAAGATACCCTGATAAATGTATGGACGTAAAACACCATAAATGAGGGATTCGGTTGTATTCCAGGTGAGTCTCCCATCAAATGAGTGCATTTCGCCAATTTCATAGAACATAAGGTAGAACACAAGGTTGATGAAAGCTCTGGGACTTCGCCTACCTGATGAGCGTGAATTGGAGAGGCAAAACCGGTCGTGGGCTGTCCGAGATTTTTCAGCAACCTTTGAGAAGTGTATCAGCTTACTATATTCTCTGCCTGGTACATGTTCTGATATTGATGTGAGTTTCTCGGTAATTTGTTAATTCGACCAATCAGTTCTGTGTGTAGCAAGCCAAATATCGACAGATATCACCAAGGTCAACTTGGATCAAAGTCCCCTGGTTGGCGGAAACTCTGATCCTGCGACTACCTGATGAGTGTGATTTGGAGCGGCAAAACTGGTTGTGGGCTCTTCAAGAGTTTTCAGCAGCCTTATGAGTAGTGTATCACGTCTATATGATAGACTTCTTCTGTCTACAAAGTTCTGACCTTCATCTTCTAGTAACGCTAGATTCACCAAACTGCGACACCCTATAATTCGTGGTCGTGTACACGATGGAGAGCTCAGCCGCCGGATCGATACAGCGCCAAATTTTAAGTAAATAACGAGCTATCAATAAAGCTAATATCCGCCGTGAACTTTCCTGCGTAATATGAAATCGATCATATCGTTGACAGCCCCTCGGTGATTGATTTAATTCCAACATTTATCTATCTGTCTATCTGAAATTGCTCTGTAGTGTCCATGGGAACGTACTGCACCAGGCCGCCTCATTTTTCAGTGTGTATGATACTCCAGACATCGAAATACCTTGTCTAGACGTAACACACTACTCATAAAGTTATTAAAAACTCTCCGACAACCCACGACCAGTTTTTGCCTCCTTGGGGCGCATCATATAGGCGAAGATCGGAGCATCATAAACGAGAGGTTCGGCTGGATCCAGTTGAGTCTGCCGAGAAAACCAAATTTGTGTGCAAACAACAACATCTGTCGAAGTTCATCCAATCTGGGTCTAAACAGAACATAAGGTTGGCGGAGACTCGAGAAGGGTACCCACCTGATCAGCCTGAATTGGAAGGACGCGACCGGCGGTGGACTGCTGAAGCGTTTTCAGCAATCTTATGAATAGCAGGCTGTGTCGATACTGATAACTATTGCTAGCGTCGGCGGAAGTCATAGGAATACTCTTGTCCAAACCCGAAGCAACAATATACTAGGGTCCCATACAACTCACCTGCGCCACGTTAAGAGCAGTGGCCAGCCACTGTATATTCGACTGGCCTGGCTGTACTCAGCGAAAACTGGGTGATTTCTCTTGACTACTCGTCTTATAACAGTAGGCTGACGACTTTGTCGAAACAGTTGCTTTTACTATCACCGCCCCCGTTCACCTTCCACACTTCACTATCGTTGTGAATATTAATCCGATGGCTGTTCAATCAAGTCATGTTATTTTGTTGGCAGTGAGAGAGCCATCAAATCCGCTCTACTGATGATTTCAAACGAGGTTTTTTTTAGGATAATCTGATCGCAGAACGATGGAGTTGACCGTTTTTCAACCTTATGCTGACCCGGAGTTATAGGGAGATCGGTAGGTCTGATTTTATAAAATGCAAACCAGTAAAACCATCATACGATCAATAATAGCGAATTGTACTCATTCGGAGAGCTGTAGAGGATGGCAACAGAGGCGGTGCGGTGGACACTCTGAGAACCAAGGGTGTGAGTCGGTGCGTTTAATCGAGCTTAAGGAAGAACTATGACATCCGGAGTGAACTAGGTGTGGAAATTGTTATATCCGCTGATTCGTCAATCAGTGGCATCTGCTGCTGACCCGATCCAGTGCCTAGTGCCGGAAAAAAGACACAGAAGGGAACACAACAGCTATATTCCGAACAAGCGAGTGCGAGAGCAAAAGTTACGACGGCCCCACGTCATTTAAAGGGGACTTTCTGACATTGATCCAGGTTGTCTGCTAGGCGTTAGTGAACACCCATCAACATCGATCGTGCCTCTGTGAGATGCCTGAACGCAGATCACATTCGGTAGTGCCTCTGTAGCGTGCATGAACACTCATCAGCTTTTGCTGAATTGATTGAATGATTGACTGGCCTGGATGCCTGCCGGCTTTCCTGTTGAGAGTTTGGTGGAGCAGCAGGTTTCGGGCGTTCTGAGGTTCGTTTCAGGAATCTGACCTTCCTGATAGAAATGATCCTTGAGAGTTGTCAGACCAGGAAGTACAGACGCAGAGCGGTCTTCAGGTGGACACTACATCAAGTAGCCCAACGTCAGAGTTAAGAGTGCGTAGGAACTGCGGCAAGATCAACAACGAATCGCGCGCTTGGTGATGCATCTTTGACTACGCAAGGTCGCATGTCCCGCGGTTTCTGTCATAACAGTCCAGATTCAGTCCCAAGTTCTTTCCTAATCTGCTATTTATTTGCTCGGTAACATCAAGTTAAATTGCAGATGAATGCATGACTCCATAAAGTTTAACTATTTTTCATTACTCTGATAATTCAACTCGGAATTAATGAAAACATTCTGTGAAACCATGATGTCTTTTCCCATATATCCCTTCTTACAAATCAGGTTCCTCTCAGAGGTCATAGACGTGAACGAAGTTTGAACGTCGCCCCGGGGGGATCAGTTGCCACACTGGTCTCCAGACGATCTCCTTGGATGGAACGAGAGCATTTCGAACACCCCCCAGCACCACCCCCTCTAACCAGAAGCTTAGTGGACCTTGGAGGTTGTCAGCTGGGCGTCGGCATGAACATCGATCATAATTCAGTTCGAAGCGGTAGTCGAACGCAGCTGCAACCTCCAAGGTTTTCCACGGCACGGGACACGCTCGTGCAAACAGGCTTATCGAATCAAAGCATCCATTCATCGGATGACACTAGCCAATCTAGTCACATTTATCAGAACCAAGTAAGTTTGCGGGCGTGTTCTGTTCTATCTCTGATTGCCTGTCAACAGTCAGCAGTGCTGTCGTTGGACCAACCGAAACTGTCACGTGATCTGGTTGTATGTTTCGATTAGTCCCGAAGGAATCCCATCAATGTAGTGACGTAAAAGAAAACTCTAGATTTTTTCGAGGCTCACACACCAGTCCGTGAATGTGGATAGGATTCATTCGAAAAGTTTGGTTCAAAACGGTACGAAAATCGAACTATTAAGATTTGAACAAATTTTTTTCGGACACAACTTTGGTTGCTTCCAAGCAAAAATTTCCAAAATCCACTCATATTATCCATAAACTACAAACAGTAGAGAAGGAAGAATACTTCGCGCGGTGATGAGAAGCCGGTCAACACGTGACCAGGTGATGTGAGTCCAATGGTTGAAGTATGAATGGCGCTATGCCGTGCCTAAGCAATCGACGAGCTGTTCGTAGCTGAACGGTCCAGTCATCATCTATCATCCGTAAGGTTGCGATTATAAATCAGCCTGATACGGATTGGCTTCAGTTCAAAGACGAAATCTCCCATTACCTAGGGATATTTCCCCAAAACAATGTAGTGTCATTCTCCTTGATTTGGTCAATTCAGAAATCAAAAGTTTGTTAGTCACAAGACGAACGGAACTTTGTCCAATGACACATTTCTTAGTAACAGTCCTCATAGAACCCCCCCCCCCACAGAACACGTGATTGTTTCACCTGCGTAATGTACACCGTCCTGTTAAATGATTTTTCAAGTGTTTGTTCGCGTGAAACTGGGGTTAATGGTGTTGTCTGTTCAGCCACTTTTAGTCAAAAACATGAACCAATACAATAGTTACGCGGATGAACTGAATCGGTGTGACAGCATCGTTGAAGAACCGACAACTCGAAGGAATCGGTCATCGAACAAAAGTAGAGGAGTGCGTTCGGTCAAGGCTACGCCGACAACTGCCGGACGAAATACTTTTACGACGTCCACTGTAAGTGGTTCAATTCTGTTTGTTTCACACATTTTTACGCCATTTTAGCGACAACCATAGACAAGGAAATGGGGTTGTGGGATATCCCAAGAATTCCTAACACACACTGACGGAATAGAATTAGCTTCTCTGAAAATCAGTTTGGTTTTCACGGGAGACTCAGTCGAATCTCTCGTTTCTGATGTCCTCCAGCTGAATGTGCTGCACACAGGCCGCGGCATGATTCAGTTGGCACGATCTTCGAGATATCGCAGTATATTTTCATAAAGGAAACTACTCACAAAGTTCAGTTGAGTCTCCCATGAAAACCAA